AAACATTGTCATGAATTTCCTCTTACTTTCGTGTTCTTGCTTCCACCATGATAAAATTGCACTTCCTGCACAGCTCTCTTTTTCAGTATGCTGTAAAACCAGTTTCCCATCAAAAATCGTTTGGCTGCCTGCTGTTTCATCTTGTTTATACAGTATCAGCAGTATCACGTAATGTTCATAGGTTGATTCACGGTTTTCTTTAGTTTTTCATCTACTGCTGAATATTTTTATTTCAGTCACTTTGACACAAAGGCCTCTGCTGTGATGTTTGCACCTCTGATGAAGTCTCACAAGTGTAGGCTTTGTTTTTATACTGAGATAGTTTACACTGAGTTTTTAATAGCAAAGAAATAGGCAAATAATTTAGAATTAAATATTTTCAATTTAAAAGGTTTAGAGGGATTGAATCGGTTGTAGAAATACGTGACGATACCCAGCCCTACTTGTAAAAAAGCCATCGTGTGTGTTCCCTTCTTGGTGCGTTCTTACCTGTAAAAACTCCAGGCACTCTTTGATGTCCTTGATCTCCCCCTGGTAATCTTGAATCATCTTCTCCACCTTCTTGCGGTCCGTCTTTGAATGGACAGTGTCAGTGATATTGGCCGAAGCAGATGTCACGCCACCAGCTGTAGCTATGCCAATGCCTACAGCTGTGACAATCAGCGATGTTCCAGCTGTGAAGGGAGCCAGGATGAGGCCGGTGATGGTGGTGATAGACCCGGCGACACTGGCCAATCCACCGCCGACACTGGCCGTGACCGTTTTTTTGTGAAAATTGTCTGCTGCATCAGCCAAAGCAAGGAGCTCAAGGATGCGCTGCTGCAGTGAGGCGCCACGTTGGTTAAAAAAACGAACAAAAAGTCGAGCGGCCATGAAGACGCGATCAGCTGCTTGTTCCACCACTCTGAGAAAAAGGCACAGGGGAAGGGTTTCACAGAGAAAGCAATGAGTGAACTTCAACCAAGAAACATGTTTTTATATTAAAACTGTAGCTCAACATTGCAAAGCTTCCTATGGGAAAACATATTCTGAGAACAATAAAGAACACGTCTACCTTGCAGCAAGAAATGACGGAATGGTAAATACTTTACTGTCATGGCAAAATAGTCTGAGGTTTTAGGCAGTGTACTGTAACAGAGCTTAAGACTTATTTTCTCAACACAAATGTGTGATTTTAAATGGGATCAGCATCTCAGATGTGGCTCAAAGTGCATCAAAGAAATGTGATATTTGAGATCTCTCAGTTTGTGTAAGAAGATGGCTGTGAGATTCCAGCAGTAAAGCAGCTGGTTAACATGGAGAGGGTGTGTTTCAGCACTTCCTAACTACTTCCTGGACGACTCTTTATGGCTGGTGGAGTATATGATGGGGTAAAGGAATGGAAACTGTCTTTAAGAGAAAGAAAGGAAAGCACAACGACCAGTTATTCGTGTGTTTACAAGAAGGGTGGTGGACAGCAATATATCCCGTGTGTTAGTACAGTAATCTGATCCACCCATCAGTGCCTCAGGTCTCTCCATTATGGGCTTAAAGCTAAGGGTGTCTCACAAAAACCTGATAGACATGCAAAACAAGAGACCGTCTTGTTCTGGCTACCAAGAAAAGACAAGATGTGTGGGCAGGAGAATGCTGAGAATGGAGATAGGGAGACATCAATGTTGTTGTTCCAGTATTCCAGAAACCAGGATTACACATCCTGAGTCAGGAACCTACAGTTGGTTTAGCAATGCTACAGCTTACAGGTGACTGGCTGCAGGCTGAGGACCACACCCTCTATAAGGAGTGAAGATGTCAACAATCTGCAGAGAATAATTTGATTTCCCTTTCATCCAACCAGCTACAGCAGTAATTTTTTGTAAGTTGCAGCTTTTTCAGGTGTGAGCTGGCGTTTGTTCATTTTATAACTATTTTGCCTGTTTTGTTAGTCTAGGGAAGTAAACCCTTGTTTTTTTACGGTTTGTAACTTCCAGGCAGGTTCTTCAGAGTTTGTGTTGGTGAATAGTTCTGCCTGTTGTTTGTTTCTGCTTTAGACTTCCCTGAAGGTTTTGTAGTCCTGTGTTTGTGAATCTGCTAAATCCTAAATAACGCAATAGTCTTTAATAGAGAAGTTGTTTCTGTGGCTATGTGTGAGTCAGTTATTGGTGGGAAACACTTTGGTTAAAGTTAGTTGTGTTAATTGTGCTAT